ATCAGCATCACCGTGCAGCTCACCAGGGTGCTGGAGCCCAGCTCCGACCTCTGCGTCCCCTTCTACAACGTCGTGTTCCGGAGGTGAGGAAAGGCCGGGTCCCCCCGGCTCTGCGGCAGATCCGGGAGCGATGCTGCCGTCTTCCTGCGCTCTCTTTCCTAGGGTGATGAGGATCCTGGATATGAAGCTGGTCGGGAGGAACTTCTTTGACCCCACCAAGGCGGCCGTGCTGCAGCATTACAGGTGGGAGCATTACAGATCCCCCGCAGCTCCAGTGGGGGATACGGCCGGGATCCTTTTTGGGAAGCGGCCGCGCGCTCACGCGAGCTCCGTGCGCGCTTCCCGGCGCCAAGGCTCCAGGTATGGCCCGGCTACTCGGTGAGCATCCGCAGGAGGGACGGCGGGCTCTTCCTCTCCGTGGACGTCGTGCACAAAGTGATCCGGAGCGACTCCGTGCTCAACTTCATGTAAGAGCGGGGAGCCCCGCGGGGCTGGGGGCGCCGCGGCGGCTTCCCGGTGCCGGAGGGAGCCGAATCGGCCGCGCCGCCCCGGCGCAGGCACGCGATCTACCAGCAGAGCGCGAGCAGCTTCCAGGACGAGTGCACCAAGCAGCTGGTGGGCAGCGTGGTCATCACGCGCTACAACAACCACACGTACCAGATCGACGACATCGACTGGAACAAGACGCCCAAGGACAGCTTCACCCTGGCCAGCGGCGAGGAGGTCACCTTTGTGGACTACTACAGGTAGCACCCGCGCGTGTTGGAGCGGGACGATGCCTGTGCCAGCTCCCTGTGGCCTTCCCCAGGGTTTACATGCCCCAGAGTGACTTGTTGCTTCCCGGCTGTGCTGTTTCATTCCAGCAAAACGTATGGAATCACGGTGAGGGAGCTGGACCAGCCGCTGCTCATCCATAGGCGCAAGGAGAGCCTGACGCAGGAGGGGAAGGTGAGCGAGGGATGCGGCAGCGGAGCCTGTGCCCCCTGGTCCCCCTCCTGCTGGCACTGGCCTCCCTCTGCCCGCAGCGCCAGCTCAACATGATCCTGCTGGTGCCGGAGCTCTCCTTCATGACCGGCATCCCCGAGAAGATGAGGAAGGACAACCGGGCGATGAAGGTCGGTGCGTGCTCGTGCCCTGCGAGCGTGAGCTTGCACCCTGCCGGGGTTTTGCGGCGGGATGGGGACGCGGATGCCAAAGGTGCCCGTTCCCGCGCAGGACCTGATGTACGAGACTCAACATGATCCTGCTGGTGCCGGAGCTCTCCTTCATGACCGGCATCCCCGAGAAGATGAGGAAGGACAACCGGGCGATGAAGGTCGGTGCGTGCTCGTGCCCTGCGAGCGTGAGCTTGCACCCTGCCGGGGTTTTGCGGCGGGATGGGGACGCGGATGCCAAAGGTGCCCGTTCCCGCGCAGGACCTGATGTACGAGATGTCGCACAGCCCCAAGCAGCACTACCTGCGGCTGTGCAGCCTCTTGCGCCCACCGCGGAGCCACGCGGCGCGTCCCGATGTCCCCGCGTGGGGCCGGGCATCGCCTTCACGCGCGGCCCCGTGCAGACGCAGGGCCGCGTCCTGCCCACGGAGAGGATCAACCTGCGGCACAGCACCTTCGCGCCCGCCGAGGACCTCAGCTGGAACAAGGAGGTGGTGCGGGAGGCCTGCATCTCCTCGGTGAGCGTCCCTCCGTGCCACAGCAGCCTCCTGTTTGCAAACCGGGCCGGGTTTCCCGAGCGCCGGCACCCTGCGTCCGGACACGGAGGTGTGCTTTAACCAAAGCCCTCGCTTGCTTTGCCTTGGCCTTGTGTTTGGGCTGTTTTCCAAAGGAGGGATGCGGGTGCAGTGTCTGCTTCCCCCTTCCTGCGTAGGCTGCCGGATTTTGGTCGCGTTGGGCTGAAGGAGTTGAATATTGCTGGTCCTTGGGGCTACTTCCCCTCTGCTCCACGGCACGGGGCGATGGGCTCGCGTGGGGCCCTTGGCGGCTCGTGACGCCGGCCCCGTCCCGCCTCCC